AAAAAAAAAGGGTAAAGGGTTTTGTTTGCTTCTTCTTTACAACTAAAAAAAGGTATAAAAGAATACTTGGAAGTGGAACTTTGACTCACATTGAATATTAAAGCCATCGGTTATATTGGTTTAGTTTAATCTGGTAATTCCTCGTTCAATTTATTAAAATATGTTATGAGTTGTATTAGTCTAGTTTAGCGTAATTTAGTTTGGTTATTGTTTGTTTGAATTATTATATGTGATGGGTTATATCAATTTAGTTTAATTTCATTTGTTTTAATTCGGTTATTTATGGTTTACTCTGATTAGGGTTTATTATACTATTCTTTGTTTCTCCCTATATATTTAAAAGTGTCTCCTTAAAATATTTAAGAAACTATTTCCGAATGGATAACTTTGCTTAGATATTTCAATACCAAAGTCGATTAGCCATAATTGAAGAGCAATACAAAGGGGAAGTGGTTAATGAGTTCGGTTCAATTATGTTCGGATTCGGTTATTTCGGTTACAGAAAAACTATAATTATTTGGTTTTTATATCAATTTCGGTTCAGTTCGGTTTTATTTTTGTTCGAATTCAGTTTTTTATTAATAAAAACTCTTTTTTAAATAAATTTTTGTTTTTTTCGATTAATTTTTTATTCGTATCGCTTTAGTTCAGATTTGTTTTTTTTTTCGGAATCTAGAGAACTCATAATTATTTGGTTTATATCACATTCGGTTCGGCTACAATTATGTCTTTAAGTTATTTATTTAATTACCAAAATGGCCGTGGCCAAAAACTTTAAAAGAAACGAAAGAAAGGACCGAAATCTTGAATCTGAATAGGAACCCGATTCTGTGAGGAATCTTGATCAGATCGTGATGATGATGCCTCTTTTGAGAAAAGCTTGATACAAGTGACTTCTGTGACTAGAGGTTGAAATGCTTTGAGTTGGCTAATCCTCTGCCATTGTCTTCAACAGTTGTCGCAACAATTGCTATGAAAGATTACACAGAATCTGCTGCAACCGTGTTCCTGTTCACCATTGCTGAATGGCTCGAGTCCAGGGCCAGTTATAAGGTCCGACACCGCCTCTTCGATTCATTTTCGGTTTCTTTTTCCCTCCAAGAACAAGTTTCAAATTGAATTTTCTGCAAACCCTTTTTGTGTACAAGTAGAAAGATACGTCTAATTATCGAATTTGCAGAGGTTTTATATAGGTTTCTGAAGTACAGTTTGCGTTGCAGGCAAGTGCAGTGATGCAATCTCTGATGAGCTTAGCTCCACAGAAGGCAGTGATAGCTGAGACTGGTGAAGAAGTGGAAGTGGATGAGGTAAAGATAAACACTGTTTTAGCGGTGAAAGCCGGTGAAACTATACCAATAGACGGGGTCGTGGTTGATGGAAACTGCGAGGTGGATGAGAAAACTTTGACGGGCGAAGCCTTTCCCGTGCCGAAACTGAGAGATTCTTCTGTTTGGGCAGGAACCATGAATCTGAACGGTAAAAAGGCTTAGACTTTCGATATTCAGACAAAAGCCCCCTTTTTTTTGCAGGTTTTCTTCCGATGTTTTTGATCTTTTCTACGGCTTCTTGAAGGTTACATAAGCGTGAAAACCACTGCTTTAGCCGAAGATTGCGTGGTTGCAAAGATGGCAAAGCTAGTGGAAGAAGCTCAGAACAGCAAAACACAAACCCAGAGGTTTATAGACAAATGCTCTCAGTACTACACTCCAGGTTAGTGTAAGAAACCCATAGAGACATATAACTTGTAGTTTCCTTCTTTTCTCCGACATCTTATCGAGTTTTCACGTTTCTTGTTTCAGCTGTTGTCATAATATCAGCTTGTTTTGCCATTATACCCGTTGCTCTGAGGGTCCGAAACCCGAGCCATTGGTTTCGGTTAGCACTGGTTGTGTTAGTAAGTGCATGCCCTTGTGGGCTTCTCCTCTCCACACCAGTTGCCACTTTCTGTGCACTCACAAAGGCAGCCACGTCAGGACTTCTGATCAAAGGAGGAGATTATCTCGAAACCCTATCCAAGATCAAGATTGCTGCTTTCGATAAGACCGGAACCATCACCAGAGGCGAATTCACCGTCATGGATTTCAGATCTCTCTCCGGAGACATAAGTGTTCACAGCCTTCTTTACTGGTAAGAAACCACACTCCTGACCCAAGAACATCTGGTTTGTGGGTTTTGTTCTGGTGTCTGAATCGTATGGAATATGATTTCAGGGTTTCGAGCATAGAGAGCAAGTCGAGCCATCCAATGGCTGCTGCCATTGTGGACTATGCAAAATCCGTATCGGTTGAACCTAAACATGATGCAGTGGAGGAGTACCAGAACTTTCCAGGTGAAGGAATCTGTGGGAAGATAGACGGGAAAGACGTTTATATCGGTAACAAAAGGATAGCTTCAAGAGCTGGATGCTCAACAGGTGAATATTCGAGTTCTAACTACCAGCTTAGACAATGACAACGCAAAACGTGAATCCAGAAAACAAAAACGTGTTCCGGATTCATGCTTCCGTTATCAGAAACTTTATGTGATGTTGTTTCGGTTTTGTCTGATCATTTCTGTGTGGTTTCTTCTTGGTTGCATATACACATCTGAAGTTTCAGACATTGAAGTTGACAACAAAGGAGGGAAGACAGTTGGATACATCTATGTAGGAGAAAGATTGGCAGGAGTTTTCAATCTTTCAGACTCTTGTCGAACCGGAGCAGTTCAAGCGATGAAGGAACTTAAATCTTTGGGTGTTAAAACCGCAATGCTGACCGGAGATAACCAAGATGCAGCCATGCATGCCCAAGAACAGGTGAAGTTTAATGGAGTTTTTCTTTGTAGGACTAGGGAGAAAAACCCTAATTTCGGATACCCGATATGCAATCGTTAACCAACAAACTCCATGTTCGAAACAGCTAGGGAATGCTCTGGAGGTTGTTCATTCAGAGCTTCTTCCGCAAGATAAAGCAAGAATCATCGAGGAGTTTAAGAGAGAAGGAGCAACCGCCATGGTAGGGGATGGACTGAATGATGCACCGGCTTTAGCTACTGCAGATATCGGAATCTCCATGGGAATATCTGGTTCTGCACTCGCAACTCAAACCGGGCACATCATTCTCATGTCTAATGACATCAGAAAGATCCCGGAGGCTATAGAACTAGCAAGAAGAGCTAGCTGGAAAGTTATACAGAACGTGGTTCTGTCGATATCTATAAAGGGAGGGATTCTTGTTCTGGCTTTTGCAGGTCACCCATTGATATGGGCTGCAGTTCTGGCAGATGTCGGGACTTGCTTGCTTGTGATCCTCAATAGTATGTTATTGCTAAGAGGGAAGCACAAACCTGTAAGCAAATGTCACAGGGCTTTTCCTTCTGTTAAAGGTGATGATCATCAGGACATAGAGACAGGCTTGTTGGGAAAGAGCAGAGGAGATGAGCATTGCAGTTCAGGCTGTTGTGGTAAGAACGACCAAGAGAATGAAGTGAGACTGGTTGAAGGGTTACAAAGGAAAAGCGGGTTTGATCACTGTCACTCTGGTTGTTATGACAAGAAGATCGAAGATGATGTCAAGCTCATGAAACAGAGCTGTTGTGCTCAACCACACGATGATTTCGGACAAGCCCTGAAAGCAAAACATGAAGGACACAGTGACTCAGGCTGTTGTAAAGACAGAACTCAGAGCTCATGCCATAAGTCTGCTCATTCGGAGAAGCACCACCAAATGAAGAGCAGCTCAGGTTGTTGCGGTGACAAGAACGAGAAGGCGAAAGAAAAGATCGTGGGAAAGAGCTGCTGCGAGAAACCTCATGGCCACGTGAAGAGTAGTGGAGACAACGGGTCTGGTCGTTGCGAAAAGGAAGAGATCGAGGACAAGATTTTTGGGGACAAAGCTAAGGAAAAGGTGGACGGAAACTGTAAATCTGGATGCTGTGGAAAGAAAGAGAAGGCTGAGGAAAATATCGTGACTGATCTTGAAAAGGGTCTGCAGATAAAATCCGAAGGAAACTGCAAATCTGGATGCTGCGGAACAAAAGAGAAAGCTGAGGAAAAGATCGTGACTTTGAAAAAGGACCAATCAGATCTTGAAAAGGGTCTGCAGATAAAGTCCGAAGGAAACTGCAAATCTGGATGCTGTGGAAAGAAAGAGAAAGCTGAGGAAAAGATCGAGACTTTGAAAAAGGATCAATCTGACCTTGGAAAGGGTCTGCAGGTAAAGCCCGAATGCAAGTCTGGATGCTGCAGCAGCAAGCACGAGGTGGAAGAAGGCCACCATGAGAAAAACATTCAAGAAGCTTCTGCCATGAAACCTGTGCTTAAGGACGAAAAGAACTGCAGGCCAAGCTGTTGTGGAAGTAGTAAACCAGAGATGGAGAGAGGTTTGGGCAAAAGCTTTTGCTCAAACCCTAGTGACGAGAAATCCGAGGAACAAAGCTGCTGTCTGGAGAAGAGCATGGATGCTTGCAGGACCAACTGCGAAGGCAACGAGAAGCAAAACAATGGCGGCGGAAAGTGCTGCAGAAGCTACGCAAATCAGTATTGCGGACATGGCCGCCATGTGCGAGCTTTTGGAAGCTTGACAGAGATTGCTATTGAATAAGCTGAGTTCTTCTTAGCATTGATCATGTTATATTCATGCTTTGATCTTGTAAGCAAGAATGCCCAGAAATGTATTTACAGTCACGGGCGATAAGTATAGGTTTCATCGATGATGGCAATGCGCGTGGTAGTAGACTAGTAGTTATCAATTTTCTTGGTAATTTCCGACATGTTATGCTCTCTACTTTACCTCTTTAGACGGTTGGTGATGATAGATTGTAATTGGGTTTTAAGCCCAATTGGAACCCTAAATCATAAAGCCCAGAGCAAGTATTCACAATACGCACGTGGATGATCACGTGTCATTGCTCGATTTCTTCTCCGACAGAACAGAACAATGACAGACATTTTTTACTTGTAACTGTGATTCTTCTAGAAGTCTGATAAAGAGTCAATTCCAGATTTTTATCATATGCAGTAGCTCTGCGAATACGTTTCCGTTCTTGAGCTAAGCTTATTGCATGAGCGTCATCAATGGAGGTTATGTCGAGCACAACGAGCGTCTCCTTAGATTACTCAATGTGTGCAGAAGAGCTCCTTCGCTTGCGAGAACCAAAGCCCTTCACGCGCTTACCATCACGTTACATTTCTCCTTGCATCAGCCCGTCTTTGTCGGCAACAACATCGTCCATATATACGCATCGCAGGGCGAGTTTTCGTCCGCAGCCAAGGTATTCGACAAAATGCCTGAGAGAAATGCTGTGTCCTTTAACACGATGATCGGTGCGTATAGCAAATGTGAGGATGTGGAGAAAGCTTTTGATGTGTTCTCTGACATGAGAGCTTTTGGATATTTGCCAACTCAGTCTACAGTTGCCGGGTTATTGTCCTGTACGTCGTTGGATCTTCGCGCTGGGGTCCAGTTGCACGGTTTGAGCTTGCAAAATGGCTTGCTTTGGGCAGATGCGTTTGTGGGTACTTCTTTGCTATGCTTGTACGGGAGGTTTGGATTACTGGAAAATGCGACACGGGTTTTCGAAGCCATGTCCACCAAGAGCTTGGTGACATGGAATTCGATGATGTCTTTGTTGGGACAGAATGGGTTTATCGATGAGTCTCTGTCTTTATTCCGTGAGCTTGTTCGAATGCAGGCTTCTTTATCTGAGTGTTCTTTGTTGGGTGTTTTGTCTGGTTTATCAAGTGAAGAGGACTTGGAAATTGGAGAACAGTTGCATTGCTTGGGCGTAAAGAAAGGACTTGATCGTGAAGTTTCTGTTGTCAATTCTCTCATCAGTGCATATGGAAAATGCTGCAATGGACGCGCTGCAGAGAAAATTTTCGAGGAGGCAGTTTCAAGGGATACAATATCGTGGAATACCATAATTAGTATAACTGCCAAAAGCGAGAACCCTTTGAAAGCATTAACAATCTTCGCCAGTATGTCAGAGCAGGGAGTTTCGGCAAACGAGAGCACCTTTGTCGGTGTTGTAAACTCTTGCGCTCGTGTGGAGATGTTGAAGTTTGGACGCACAATTCATGGCATGGTGATTAAGAAGGGTTATGGAACTGATGTCTTTGTAGGGAGTGCTTTGATCGACTTATATGTTAAATGTGATAATTTGGAAGATTCCCGGCTATGCTTTGATGATATATGTGAGAAGAATGTCGTTTCTTGGAATTCGCTGATTTCAGGTTACGCCGACAAGAACAGTTCTGAAGTCTGTATCTCTTTGTTCTTGCATATGCTTCGGCTTGGTTTCAGGCCAAATGAGTTTACATTTTCGTCTTTTCTCAAAACCTGTGGTTCCCCCGAGATTAAGCAGCTTCACTCTGTGGTAATAAAGACGGGTTACGAGGAAAATGACTATGTCTTGAGCTCCCTTATCTCATCGTATGTGAAGAACGGACTAATAAGTGATGCTTTGGTCTTGCATGATGGTTCTACCGCAAGATTTTTCGTGGCCCCTTCAAACATTATTGCTGGAATGTACAACAGATCGGGTCTTTACCTTGAATCTTTGAAGCTGATTTCAATGCTCGAATACCCAGATGATATATCCTGGAATATTGCCATTGCAGCTTGTTCGCGTGCCGCAAAGCACAGCGAGGCTCTTGAACTTTTCAAACACAAGCTTCAATCGCGCATCTTACCGGACAACTACTCCTATGCTAGCGTCTTAAGTACGTGCACTGAGCTTTGCGATCTTGCGGTTGGAAGTTCTATCCACTGCCTGATCGCTAAAACGGGTTTCCACCGTGCTGACGCATTCGTGTGCAACCTGTTGATTAACATGTATGGGAAATGTGGAAGTATCAGAAGTGCGGTAAAAATCTTTGACGAGGCAAGAGAGAAGAACCTCGTGACATGGACTGCGTTGATATCGTCCCTCGGGATCCATGGATACGCTCACGAGGCATTCAAGAAGTTTGGGGAAATGGTGTCTCTAGGGTTCAAGCCTGACCGGGTTTCTTTCGTCTCGATGCTTACCGTATGCAGGCATAGTGGGCTGGTAAAGGAAGGAATGGATTTGATTCAGAGGATGAAATCCGATTATGGAGTGGAACCAGAAATGGAACATTATCGATGTGGAGTGGACCTTCTGGTCAGAAATGGATACACGAAGGATGCCGAGAAGTTCATCGCTGAAATGCCATTCCCACCAGATGCATCCGTTTGGCGTACATTTCTCGAAGGATGCAAGAGATTCATCGTCGAAAGATAAACGGGCAAGTTTGCGTTGTAACAAGAACGGAGCGGGAAAAAAAGCTTGGAAACCAACAGAGCTGTAGGTCGAAATTTGAATTCAAACGGTCCAATGATGAGATCACATGCCAAGAAAGCTGCAACGAGATGATTCTTGATGTTTTTAGACCAAGAAATGCCATCTTTCTATGCAACCTTTCAAACTTCCTATGGACTGTTCAAATTTTCCTTTTTTAAATTTGAATTTGTATGTAATAATAAACGACAGAGAATGAAATCAATAATCATTTTATTTATTTGAGAGTCCCTCTCTTTAAGTATTACAACACCATTTCTAAACTCATCGGATTCTCCGTGTCATCTTTGCAATACCGACGTCTAGATCTAGGTTTTTTGTTTCCCAAGTCACTAGTTGAATTTGTTTCTCAACTAAAAAACATAGCACAAAGATATCAAACCGAGCTCAATTTGTGAACTGATTCATTGCCGGCCCATTTTTAAACGATAAAGACCGAAAATGATGATGAAAATATATATAACTTAGAGAAGAAATATGGGACGATTTCAGCTCTGATAAACTTGATTTATAGGTTCTGTAAATATTTATTTTCATCATTGTGATTACCAAATGATATTTTTGTTTTTAAAACATGAAAGCATGAGCCATTCAATGATGAGCCGGGCAGGGGTAGCCGCAGATGCAAGTGCCCGCCTTACCGCCGCGGTCGCAGTGAGCAACTGCCTTTGGCCCGTGCTTTGAATGGCACTCTTTATTGCAGTCTATTTTCCCACACGAGCCAAGCACTTCTCCACACGCCGAGCTCTCATCAACTGTATGTAATTCCATGTCACGTTATTACTATCATATACATATATCACACATTGATACACAAATTTATTTTTTTTTAAATCTAAATAAATACACAAAAACCGTCATAAAATTTTTAAACCACTTCCAAATACCACTATAATATGGTAGTTTTGAATGTATAAATTAAGAAAAGTTCGTGTATATTTTTGAATTTTTAAAATTCATTTATTTACAAATTCATATATTAATATGCGATTTTCTGTGCAAAACATAATACTGTATATATATGAGGAACGAGTGATGACGAGAAAGGACTCAGTGACTCACTCAAGACAGAGGAGACGAAGAGGATCATGAAGCAGAACGCTGCGGTCTTGCATGGACTCATCTTTCTGAATAAAACTTGAAAATCTTTTATTTGTTTTTTCTTTTCTGAATGTTTTTTATATGAACATATTATTGCTTGGATTGTGTCTTATTTATAGGCATTGGTAATAAAAGAAAAATTCCTTGGTGCTTGTTATGAGGTCCGATTCTTTTTTAATTGAAAAGAATCCTAAAGATATAATTTCCCTTTATTGTATTAATTAAGTTGTTCCAAGAGAAATATACAAATAACGGACGAGTAAATACATAACGGCTATTACATGCAAATCAGCCAAGAATCAATGGCCAAGATTCCCTACGGATTATCCATTAGAATATATACGCACACACGCCAATGCATTAAAATATTTGGTAGCATCCCATACATTCTAAAAATTAAACTAAACATAAATGCAATGGACCTCCATGTATAAAGAGGTGGACGAGTTTTGTCAGCCAGGGCTCAATAAAAACAATTCTATTTATATAATAAATTTGTTGTACAAATGTTTGACTTCCATTTAGAGATTAGGTGTGCAATTTTTTTTTTGTTAGTTAGGCTCACTACAAAATATTTATATTTCTTAAATTTGTTGGTACGTACAATTGTATGAATACCTAGTTTTGAGTTTTTTTAATAAAAAAAATTCGGATATACTTCCTTCGTTTCAAAATATTTGTTATTTTATATTGTTTCACATTTTTTAAGAAAATAGATCAAAAGTCACATATACCCTTATTTGATGATAAAAACAATGCAATCATTAATAATGTATTGTAATTTGGTAAGGATAAAATTGGAAATTATTATAAAACAATGTCTGACATTGAAAATGTAAAACTACAAATATTTTAAAACATAGAAAATAAACTAAAACCACAAATATTTTGAAATGGAGGGAATAACAATTATGAATACCTCATGTAAATTTAAATGAATATGATCATTTATAACAATTAAAATATTCACATTTAACACACACGTTTATGTAAGTTTATTTTAGGGAACTTCCCAGGTCAACGAAAAAACCCTGTACTTTTTTCTTTACCAAAAAACCTTATACTCTATCATAGTAACCAATTAAACCCTGTACTTATAATTTATTAACCAAACCCCCCCCCCGCACCGTGAACGTTGTGACGGCTGAAATGGAACTAGTGACATGGCATAAACGGAGTTACTGACCCCAATCCACGTAGGATTAACTTGCCACGTCAGATAAAGCAAGCTTATAATTTACACAAAATTGTATTTATCCTGGGTGATAGCAGAAGAACGTGGAGAGATAGAGAGAGGGTAAGAGTTTCCATTTGTAGGGGTTTTCTCTCCAGATTTTTCAACAGATTTCGAGTAAACCTCGCATCTGTTCTATCTCATTTGGGTTATGTGCTATTTTTATCAAGTGAAGCGAAGGTAACAGGTAAGAAACAAGATTTGAGTTTCTAGGGTTTGTGGGTTGGGTTTGAAATATATTTGATTTCGGGGATTTCAGGCTTGTTCGGGTTCTATATTGTTGTTATGCGACTGAAAAGTAAAATTTGACTTGAGATTTTTAGAGTTAGGGTTTAGGGTTTGTCAAATTTCGGTTACAGCGGGCTGGTTTTGGCAGATTTAAGTTTATGGGTATTGTTAGAAATGTGTTAGAGATTCATCAGAGACTTCGATTTCGGTTTTTTTACTAAAAATACAGTACATGTTTATGTTACAGATTGAAAATAGAAGATGAGTTATGCGCGCAACAGAGTCTTCACTTTCGAATGCTCGACCAACTCGATCGGAACAATGGAATTTTACAATTTCGGTGTGAATGCGGACTACCTATATCAAGGAAGACATCGAGAACATACAAAAATCCTGGAAGAATTTTCTTTTCTTGTGACTCGCAAGAGGTATGTAATTTGTACATATTTTTTTTTCAAAAAATGATATTGGTTTCTTATGATTGTGTTGTTTTATGTATCAGAGAAATGGTTCTCATTTTTTTCAAATGGCTTGACGATGCGATAATTGAAGAGTTGGATGGTCTCCGTGATGAGTTACATGAAGTGAAGATGGAGAAGATGATGGATGTTAAGATGGAGAAGATGATGGAGAAGATGAATGTTAGGATGGACAAGATGAATCAGAATATTGAGAAGATGAATGTTAAGATGGTTGAATACAACAATGTTGTAGTTATGTTTGGTGTAGTTGTAATTGGTGTAGCTATGTTTTTTGGGTATTACTATGGATAATCCTATGTTTAGAAATGTAGAAATGGTAAACGAATCTTGGTGTAGTTGTGTTTGGTGTAGTTGTAATTGGTGTAGCTATGTTTTTTGAATTATGAATGTTATGTTATTGACCCTAATTGTAGTTATCAGATTATGAATGTTATGTTTTTGACCATTACACAAAGAAGATTACATTACGATATTAACATAACAGGTTTGTACAGGATACAAAAAAACCGGCACAACATTACAACTAAAAAAAGTCGGCATCCTGGATACATAGTTCAACAAAAAAATAGCCAACATCCTGGATACATTGAGTTCTATCAAAAAAGCCGGCACAACATTACATCCAAAACATTATCCAACTGTAGGTAGTGCATAATCATTTCCGTTTTTCTTGTCTTGGGATAGATATAATTTCCCTTTATTGTATTAATTAAGTTGTTCCAAGAGAAATATACAAATAACGGACGAGTAAATACATAACGGCTATTACATGCAAATCAGCCAAGAATCAATGGCCAAGATTCCCTACGGATTATCCATTAGAATATATACGCACACACGCCAATGCATTAAAATATTTGGTAGCATCCCATACATTCTAAAAATTAAACTAAACATAAATGCAATGGACCTCCATGTATAAAGAGGTGGACGAGTTTTGTCAGCCAGGGCTCAATAAAAACAATTCTATTTATATAATAAATTTGTTGTACAAATGTTTGACTTCCATTTAGAGATTAGGTGTGCAATTTTTTTTTTGTTAGTTAGGCTCACTACAAAATATTTATATTTCTTAAATTTGTTGGTACGTACAATTGTATGAATACCTAGTTTTGAGTTTTTTTAATAAAAAAAATTCGGATATACTTCCTTCGTTTCAAAATATTTGTTATTTTATATTGTTTCACATTTTTTAAGAAAATAGATCAAAAGTCACATATACCCTTATTTGATGATAAAAACAATGCAATCATTAATAATGTATTGTAATTTGGTAAGGATAAAATTGGAAATTATTATAAAACAATGTCTGACATTGAAAATGTAAAACTACAAATATTTTAAAACATAGAAAATAAACTAAAACCACAAATATTTTGAAATGGAGGGAATAACAATTATGAATACCTCATGTAAATTTAAATGAATATGATCATTTATAACAATTAAAATATTCACATTTAACACACACGTTTATGTAAGTTTATTTTAGGGAACTTCCCAGGTCAACGAAAAAACCCTGTACTTTTTTCTTTACCAAAAAACCTTATACTCTATCATAGTAACCAATTAAACCCTGTACTTATAATTTATTAACCAAACCCCCCCCCCGCACCGTGAACGTTGTGACGGCTGAAATGGAACTAGTGACATGGCATAAACGGAGTTACTGACCCCAATCCACGTAGGATTAACTTGCCACGTCAGATAAAGCAAGCTTATAATTTACACAAAATTGTATTTATCCTGGGTGATAGCAGAAGAACGTGGAGAGATAGAGAGAGGGTAAGAGTTTCCATTTGTAGGGGTTTTCTCTCCAGATTTTTCAACAGATTTCGAGTAAACCTCGCATCTGTTCTATCTCATTTGGGTTATGTGCTATTTTTATCAAGTGAAGCGAAGGTAACAGGTAAGAAACAAGATTTGAGTTTCTAGGGTTTGTGGGTTGGGTTTGAAATATATTTGATTTCGGGGATTTCAGGCTTGTTCGGGTTCTATATTGTTGTTATGCGACTGAAAAGTAAAATTTGACTTGAGATTTTTAGAGTTAGGGTTTAGGGTTTGTCAAATTTCGGTTACAGCGGGCTGGTTTTGGCAGATTTAAGTTTATGGGTATTGTTAGAAATGTGTTAGAGATTCATCAG